TGCGTGTGCTCCGGTGGCGTCCCTGCGGTGTGACGCTCCGCCGGTGACGGGAAAAGCGGCGCGATCGGTCGCTTCCTTGGCGGGTGTACCAAGAGTCACGTCCAACGGCGTGCACGGCCGCTGAAGTGAACTCAAGTGAGAGGAGGCACGGCGTGCGCGGCCACTGAGGAGGGAATACGACCAGCAGTGGTCGGTAACGCCGGTCGTAACAAAAGGGCCGTATAATGACCGCAAGCGGTCAGTCCTCAGTGCTTACTTAAGCCGTGCGCGGGCTCCAGTACGCACTGAGGTGATAGTCCTGAGCGGTGGTGCTAGCCGCTCTTATATAGCGCCAAGAGCTAATCCTGCGCACGAGTGAATGATCAAGTGGTTGGCCATCTCGTGACGAGCGCGCGGATCACTCCCGTGCGCGGGCCCACAATGTCGGCGCGTGGCAGCGCGCGGCGGCGCGCGCCGGCACGCTTGTTGTTAGGCCGGAGTAGCAGTGACCGCCACAGGATCCCCCTGTGAGTGACGAAGTCCATTAAGTGATGTATCGTTGCGGGAAACGGACTCGCCTTCCCGATCGGGTAGTGGTCTCCGCTGTTGCTCGTGCCGTTGGCTGTGGTGTTGTTGGTGGCTCCGGGGCGACGCTATCTTCTGATTGGTCGTCTCCTTGCCTGATGTATGCCGGCTTAAGACGGTCGTGACGGTGATTGAGTTGTCTCGGACTTGTAGTTGATAGGTCTTGTCGGTTCGACTCACCACTTGGTAAAGTCTTTCGTACGGTGGTTGGAGGATGCCCTTAGGTCCGTCGTGCCGGAAGAAAACGAAGTCGCACGTTCGCAAGTCTTGATGCACGAATGGTTGTTGTGCAGAGTGGTTAGATCCTTCTTTCGGGCGTAATGCGTCAGTGAGTAGCCGCAGTGCCCTGAGCCAATCAGCTTCGGCCTCTGGTTGCGGGTTGCTCGATTCGGTGAGGAATTGTCCAGATAGGCGTAGGGATTCCCCGTATACCATCTCCGCGATAGTGTGGAGATCCTCCCTGAAAACTGCTCGTATGCCAAGAAGGATAGTTGGCAGTTCTTCTGTCCACCGCGGATTGGCTCTGCAGCGAATGGCGGCTTTGAATTGGCGGTGGAAGCGTTTCACCATGCCATTGGCTTGCGGATGGTATGATGTGGTGCGATGATGTGTGCCAGTGAATGCAGCCAATTGGTTGAAGAGCTGTAACTCGAACTGCCTTCCCTGATCGGTTGTGATTCTCAAGGGAGTGCCGAATCGACAGATCCATCCGTTGTAAAAGGTGCGGACAACTGTTTCTGCTTCTTGATTGGCCATGGGGAAAGCCTCAGGCCACCGAGTGAATCTATCCACGCATGTGAGGCAGTATCTCTGGCCTTGCGATACTGGTAGGATAATGATGTCGAGGTGTATGTGCTCGAACCGTCTGCTAGGAAGTTTGAATGTTCCCCAGTTGAGCTGTTTGTGTGTCTGGTGATTTTTGATTTCTGACACTCAAGGCATGTTTTCGCCCAATTGTGGATGTCCTTGTTCATGTCTGGCTACACGAATCGTTGAGCTACCAATTTAGTTGTTGCCTTGATTCCTGAGTGCGCTAGCTGATGTACTGTCAGGAATGCCGTTCGCCTGAAGTCTTTTGTGAGGTACGGACGTGGTGTGTCCGTTTGCGTGTCGCACCATAATTGAAGCGCAGTCCCAGGTATTTTGACTTTTTGAAGTTGCAGCCCGTGTTTGTTGATTTTGAAATTTTCTATTTCCGGATCGGTCTCCTGTGCGTCTGCTAGCGTAGTGAAGTCGATTATCGATTGTATGGTCTCCAATCTGGACATGGTGTCTGCGGCTATGTTTTTGCTGCCAGTTACATGCTCTATTCTGGTTGTGAAATGGCTGATGTAACTGAGGTGTCGGAACTGCCTTGGAGTACATTTGTCCGGTTTTTGTCGGAAAGCGAATGTAAGAGGTTTGTGGTCCGTGTATATGACGAAGTCTTTGGCTTCAATCATATGTCGGAAATGCTTGATTGTCAAGTAGAGAGCCAGTTCTCTATTGAAAGCACTGTAACGAGTCTCAGTGGGAGAGAGTTTGGAAAAGAAAGCCAGTTGCCAATCTTCCTCCCATTTTTGTTGGAGGGTTGCTCCGACGCTGGATTCTGATGCGTCAACGAAGATTGCTAGTTTTGCGTGCCTGTTAGGATGTGCTAACAGTGTGGCTTGCGTTAGATCTTTTTTTGATTGTTCGAATGCCTGTTGCGCTTGATAAGATCATTCAATGGATTGCTTGCCTTTCTTATTGGCGAACAAATCGTTGAGTGGAGCCTGTGTTGCTGCTGCCCTCGATATGAATCTCCGGTAGAAATTCATCATACCAAGATAGCGTCGAAGTTCCTTGGCGGTCTTCGGAGGCTGGACTCTTTGGATGGCCTTAGTGCGAGAGGGGAGTGGTTGAGTGCCTTCTTTGGTGATGAGGTATCCGAGGAACTCGACTTGCTTCTTTCCGAATTGGCACTTGGATGGATTGATGACGATGCCATGCGTGCTGAGTCTCTGGAAGAGCGTTTGAAGATGCTGTAGGTGTTCTTCTTCTGATCGTGAAGCGACGAGGATGTCGTCGATGTATGTGAAGCAGAATTCTAGCCCTCTGAGCGCTTCGTCCATAAAGCGCTGCAAAGTTTGAGCGGCGTTGCGTAACTCGAATGTCATGTATGGGAACTCGTACAGTCCGAAGGGAGTGGTAATGGCCGTCTTCGGTATGTCTTCTTCAGCGACTGGGATTCGGTGGTAAGCTCTCACCAAATCAATCGTGGAGTAAATGCCTGTGCCTTCGAGAGCTTGTGCGAAATCATGGATGTGGCGAATCGGGTATGCGTTCGGGATGGTTCTGGCGTTTAACGCCCGATAATCCCCGCATGGACGCCACTCTTCGTTTTTCTTGGGCATCAGGTGTAGTGGTGATGCCCAAGGACTACTTGAAGGGCGAGCTATGCCTAGCTCGAGCATCTTGTTGAATTCCTTCTTTGCTATCGTGAGCCGGTCTGGAGCGAGTCTGCGCGGCCTGCATGAAACCGATGGTCCCGGTGTGGTCGTTATGTAATGCCGCATTTGGTGCTTTGCCTCGGTTGGTTGGCCTTCAGGGCACGTGATTTCCTTGAATTGCGATAGAAGTTTGTGGTATGGAGTAAATTCCTGGACGGTTTTAATTTGCACCGTGATGTCGTCTCTTGCCTTGCCCCGAATTGCTAAGCCCGTCGTCTGATCGATGAGACGTTGGTTGATCATTAGATTGAAGTATGCTAGGAAGTCGGCTCCAATTATCGGCTTATCGAGATTGGTTACGATGAATCTCCAGGTGAAGGCTCTTCTCAGTCCAAGATTCAACGTGATTGTTTCCATGCCATATGTGTTAATCATGGTGTTGTTGGCGGCTGTGAGAGTATATGAGGACTTGTTGCGTGGTCCACGAAGAAGTTTGCGTGGGAATACGCACAAGTCTGCTCCCGTGTCCACGAGGAAATCGATCTTTGTGTTGACGTCGGTGACGTGCAGGCGGCGTGTTTTTTGGCTCGTGCCGAGTACCGCCTTTACTGGCGAGCCGTGGCGTTTCCCTGTATGGTGTGTGAACAGGGTGCTTTGCATTTGCGGGCTGCTGTACCGAATCGCCGATGGTACCAGCATTTCGTATTGATGTTCCCTCTTTCGGCTGATCTTGATCGAGATCGGTTCCGTGAGGACTCTCTCTGTCTTGTGTGGTTCAGTTGTAGGCTCATGCGTTCTATGGTGCGCGTAAGAGCTGTGACCTGTTGCTGCAATTCGTCTTGTTGAATGCGCATTTGTGCAAGTTGTACTTGCATATTATAGTCGGCTGGCGTGTTGCTTCGCGTGTTGCGTGTTGTTTCAGCTACTTGTAGTGCCGGGTCTCTGGTAGCGTCCAAAATAGCGTCTGCCATTTCGGCGAGGTGGTCCAGAGTGTCTTGTGTTTTGCTAACGAGATGCGACTTGAGAAAGGTCGGAAGGCGGCTGAGCCAAATGGTCCTTACGACCTGTTCGCCCACGGCTTTTCCGGCTAGGTTGCGTAGGTGTCGCAGGAACTGCGATGGTTTGCGGTCGCCTATTTCTTCATGCTTGAGTAGTTGCCTTGTTTTGTGCTCCTGTGTTGCGCTCAGGCGTTTTATTAACTCGGTGCGTAACGTTTCGTACTGCCTTTCCTCAGGAGGATTCATAACTATATCGCGTACTTCTATGGTGTATTGCGGGCCAAGTGTTATGAGTGCGTGGCCGAATTTTGTTTCTTCCATTGTGATGCCTGCTGTTTGGAAATTGCGGTCCAGGATACTGAACCATAGTTCTGGATTGGCTGGCGTGAATTTCGGAATTCTCATCGCTACCCTGTTGACTTCTTGTGCGTAGGGTGATTGCGCTTCTACAGTCGCTTCCGGTATGTCGCTGATCGTGGGTTGTGGTATTGTTTGCCGGCGCATGCTTGTTTTTTCTTTTTTTGTTCTTGCTTGTTGAGTGCGGGAAGTTGTAGCCTTTCTTGAGAAATCGGGGGTCACCAAATGTGGTGGTAGTGCGTGTTGTTGCGGATGATGGTAGTCGAGCTGTGTATGTTTGATGTAAGTGTGCGTGTGTGTGTACGAGCAGATTTGGCGTAACAGACTCGATGCTCCTCTCTGCGAAGCTCCCGCCAGTTCACGTTCGGGCGAAGCGAAAAATGGCGGCAGGTGTGAAAGGGGAATGGAAGATTGTCGTGCAGGTTCTCAAGATGGTTCCAAGATGGCAGGTTCTGCGATCTTTAAATAATCATTATATATATTTTCCCTACGTGTCACTACAAAAAAAAAGAATGAATATGTCACGGGCGCGATGTGGAGGGTTTGCGTCCCCCCGGGTGGTTGGCGAGCGGCCCGATGTGGATGACTCGCGTGGCTCTTCGCGGAGACGCTGTGCTTACCTCTCGCGAGCACCAGCCCCGCCGTGATGCGTGGACCGGCGCGGATAGGCAGTGGGCTTCCACCGTGCTGCGGAGCCTCCGTCTGAGTGGTGATGTTGTAGGAGGTCGGTCGGTGGTCTCGTCGGGGCGTCTGAGCGACTATGTCCCCGAGGTCGAGTGGGATGAGGCGCCACGGATACCTAGAGTCCTCTTGATGCTGCCTGGAAAGGCTTGGAGTCGGCGGGCAGTGATGCGCCGCAATCTGCGGCGAGACCCTCGTCAGCGGCGGTGTTGACGGCTCGCTGAGCGAGCCCCTGCGAGCCGGGAAGTTTATGGAACGGCGTAGGCGGGCAGGTCCGCGGGGCTGAGCTCGGCTGCGGCGGTGTCCGCGGTGCTGGCCCTGGCGTAGGGCTGTCCCCTGAGGAAGACGATGTCGAGAAGGAACCAAATAATGCCGCCAACTGCTCCTCCCTGGGGGGCGTCGGTTGTTCCTCACTGCAGGTGACGTAGACTCTGGCCGGTGCGGAGTCGCCGATGATCCCGAGTGAGTTGATGCCGGGATGCCTCGC